TTAAAGTTTATAAATTAAACCTTAGAATTCCATCTCTAGCGTTGGAATATATTGTAGTATATGAGCTCACAGGGCTGACTTACATTTTCCTTTCACTCATTACTCTTTCAGTCATGAAATTCCACTAAATTGTTATATTTCTCTAAGATATCCTGTAAGTTTAAAGCCAGCCTGCTCTAAAAAGTGACTTTCAAGATAGCCAGGACTACATAGAGAGACCCTATCTCAAAATAAACAAAACCAAAACCCCAAACCCAAAACCAAATAAATTTCCCATTGTCATGCAGGTAGCCTCCAGAAGCAAAGTGCAGGGTCACAGACTTCAAATTCATCAAGACATTTTAAGGAGTTTAACTAAATGGAGGGTCATTGTTTTGTTCTTACTTTAGTGCTCTTTTTACTTTAAGCTTCTGTTGGTGAATAGAGTTCATTTTTTTAGTGAAAGTAAAGGTCATTTCTTTATTTGCTGGTACTGGATGAGGGTATTTAGCTTTTTTTTTTTTATCTTTTATCTTTAGCTTTTCTTTCTTTTTTTAAAATTTCCTCTAGATTTAAGAACAAAAAAACCCCAAATTTTCCAACTTTTACAATAGAGGCAAACATTTCCCTGTGCTTGTAGGTACGCCATAGAAATGATATGAATACTAGTGATCAAGGCCAAGCTGAGTTGCTTTGTCCACCCATCTGTATGCTTTTGTTTTTATTAATTGCATGAAAAAAAAAAACTTAGTATATTTTTCAAACTAATTCTGAAGTTTCATAAAATTCTATTACACTATCTTAAGACAAGACCTTGTCTCTACAAATTGGAATCGGTACCTGCTTTTATTAACATGTTTGGTTTTTTTTTTTTTTTTTTGAGATTATAATTGCACCATTTCCCCTTCCCTTCCCTCCCTCTAAGCCCTCCCCTCCTTGCTCCTTTTCCAGTCCATGCTTTTTTCATTATTGGTTGTGAATGCATGTATGCATATATATTTCTATGTGTGTACACATTCCTAGTGACTAGAGCACTCTGTAGAGTGTTACCAGTGTGTACATTTTTAGGACTGACTCTTTCTGATTGGATAATTAACTGGTTTGCTTTTTCCTGAGGATTATTTCTCCTACTCTCAGCATTCCTTAGTTGCCTGTACTTCTTTGTGTAGGCTTCATGAACTTTAATCTCAGTTTTGTCTGCTGTTGTCCTTGTAGAGTGCATGTCTAGGCAGTCATGTTGCTGAGGCTGAGGCCTTATGGGTGGAGCTTCTGACATTACAAAAAGACGCAGTCTCACAGCAAACTCCCTGATCCTCAAGTCCTTACAATCTTTACACCTCCACTGTGGAAGCAGTGTTCCCCAAGCCTTGGTGGTGGGAGTATTTTGTAGCTGTGTCCACTGGGATTGGACCTCACAACTGAATTTTGATTGGCTGTGGTTTTCCGTGGCCTGTGCCTGAAGACAAGTTTCCTTGTTAGCAGTGAGGTCTACACTTACCTGTGTAAGTGCTTAGACCAGTGCTTAGATCATTGTTTGGGGTTATGCTGGTTTACTAAAGTGATGGTTGCTGGTTCTCCTCCAAGATCGATGACTTTTCTAGCATTGAGTCGTTGGCTAGGTTTCCAGTCCCAGACATGGTTTCCCTCTTGTTGAGTGAGTCTTAAGGGGAGTCTAGAGGGCTGTTGGTTACTGCCGAGGTATGTGAGCCACTACTGCGCTCTTAGACTTGCTGTGCTATGCTAGTTTTTGTCGTTACGTAGGTACTAGAGCTGGCAAGGGCTGTTGGTTGCTTACCCTTTGGAAGCTCGCCTGGTGCCTTCTGGTACTAGTAGATCCAATCTTAGAGAATTCCCTGATTCTGTGGCTCTTAAAATCTTTCTGCCTCCCTCTTCTTCCTGCACACCCTTCCACAATGTTTTCTGAGCTTCAGAGAGGAGTCATATAAGTCATTCCAGCTCAGGGACCTCTGGAACCCATTTCTGAAGTCTATAGTGTCTTCAGCAATAGAGACTTACAGCAACCTCTGACAGCATGGGGTGGGGGACCAACCGAGGGCAATAGCTTTTAGGAATCTCATGGAGAGCCTTGACCAACAACTTGTAAGAGGGCTTTTCATGTCTGGTATTGGGGGGGGGGTTGTTAGGTGTTCTTTGACTCTCCAAGGGAACATTTTCAGCCCAGATGAAAAAAGTTCATTTAAACTGCATATGTACATTTATACACAGAATATGTGTCTTATAGGTTTCGTTTTCTAAGGTAAAGAGTTGATAGTATGATTTCTTCTGACTTTTGCAAACATGCTTATTGTTATTCTACTCTCTCTATCCTTCTGTATTCAACTCCCTCCCTATTCCGAAAGAGTAACCCCATTTCCCTGGTCAGAGCACTAGTATCCCATTCTCCCCTTCATCCTCTTCCTGCCTTCTTCTGTATTTACCTCCTTCCCCTTCCCAAGGAGCCCTCTTTTCCTGTTTCCTTGATCAGTTAACTTGTCCCTTGCTATTCTCCTCTCTATTCTCTCTACCCCCTACCCTATCAGTGGTCCCTTTTTACCTTCCTGGCTTCTCTAGTTATTCCATAATATGGATTTACATCTGAAGATTTAGAACTAGGACCTTCTAATGAAAGAGAACATGCAATGTTTGCTCCTCTGGGATTGGAATACCTCACTCAATATAATCTTTTGTAGCTACATCCATTTACCTGCAAAGTTCTTTTCAGGTAGGATGCTGAGTCTTTTGGGTATATGCTGAGGAATGTTAGGCTGGGATATACAGTTAGTTGATTTTTAGCTTTTTGAGAATTCTCCACACTAATTTCCAGAGTGTTTGTACCAGTTTGTAGTCCTACCAACAGTGAGTGAGGGGTCCCTTTCCCCTACTCTCTGTCCAACATTTGTTACTGATTGCTTTGAAGATCTTTGCCATTCTGACTGGGGTGAGATGAAATCTCAAAGTTGTTTTGATTTGCTATCAGTAATGCACATCTTTTTAGATATTTCTTAATCATGATTTTTTCCTTTGAGAACTCTGTTGAAGGGCTGGAGATACGGCTCAGCCATTAAAGGCTAGGCTCACAACCAAAAATATAAGAGAACTCTATTCAGGTACCAGGCCCATGAGTTTTTTAATTTTTATTGTCTCATTTTTTTAAGTTCTTTATATATTCTGAATATTAATCCCCTGCCAGATGTAAAGCTTTCCTAGTCTGTGGGCTTCTTCCTCACTCAGCTGATTGTTTCTTTAGCTGTGTGGAAGCTTTTTATAAAGATATAATGCAGAGCCATAGTAATAAAAACATTAAGATACTAGCATAAAACAGATGTGTACACCAGTGAAACAAAATTAAAGACCCAAACATGAGTACATTTAACTTCAACCATATAATATATGATAAACATGCCAAAAATATATGCTGAAGAAAAGAAATGATGCTGAGAAAATTGGATTTCTACATGCAGAAGAATAAAGTTATACACGTATCTGTTACTCTGTGAAAAAAAAAAAAAAATGTAAGCAAAATGGGTCAGAGACCTAAACGTGAATCCTGAAACACTGAAACCACTAGAAGAAAACAAGGGCAGGTACCCGACATGAAATAGGTGCAGAAAAGACTTCCTGAATTGGGCTCCATTTGCTGAAGAATGAAGTTCTACAGTTGACCAGTGAGACTTCATAGAATATGGTTTTTGTTTTTGTTTGTTTGTTTTATTTTTTGTTTTTATTTGGAAACAGGATCTTAGGTAGCCCAGGCTGGCTTCATGCTAGCTATGTAGCCACAATTGGCCTTGAGCTCTTGACCTTCCTCCTTTGGTGTCCTGTATACTGGCATTATAGGCATTTTGTACCACATCTGATTTATCTAATACCTCTTAAAGGTCACTTTTTAAAATTATAAACACAAAGTCAATAAGACTTTGTTGAGTTGTGTCCTGGAGGAACGGTGGTTTCAGAAAAAATAAGTAAGAAATAAGTCGGAGTCTTACTTAATTATTAAATTTCATTTGTATCTTCTTGAGATTTTTTAATAGATAATAACCAGGAGCTGTTCATAGCTGCTTCCAGTTGTAAGCTTAAGAAAAATCTCTGCTTTCTTGGTGTAGCTTTGTGTCCTTTCAGCGGTGCTCAGTGTGGCTCTTCTTGGCAGGCTTCTGTCTCTGTGAAGCTTCCTCATCTGTGCTGAATATGAACTGCGGCGCCACCTGAAGTTGTTCCCTAAAGAAGTGGACTTAGATTTTTCTCTTTAGATTTCTTATGCTGTGCTGGAACTTTCTGTTTGTGTTATACTAGCAAGTGATGTGCATTTTACCAGTGGATGGGAGAGGCCCTTGGTTCTTCTGCTCAGCAGGCAGGGTGAGCTTGACTTCCAGGCTGTCTAGTAGTAATAAGTAGTGTCGCTTAGTTTTGATCATTTTTGTTGTTGTTGTTTGTTTAGATTTAACATTTTCTTTAGGATGGTGAGTATAAGGAAATAGCAATGGAGTCAAATTTGTCTACTAAATTTTGTGACTGGTTTCTTCCTTCTGTGGTCCTAGACTCATCTTTGCTGAGTTTTCTTTCTAGAGTCCTAGCAGTGACAAAGGGCAGAGATGTATCTTCCCTCTTCTGTTTTTTTTTTTCTATCAAGCATTTCTAACTTGCAAAGCTGTATGTGGCACAGGATAACTGAGTGTAGACCAATTATGAATTTACACAACCTGATTTTTTTTTCCTTTATATAATTTGAGTGCATGGTTTGTAAGCATGAACCTTATAGATGGTAATGTTGTGTTGAGGAGTCAAAAGGTTGGACACACCTGCAGTATTATGCAGAAGAAGCAGAGTATGCTGTTTTGTACGCACTTAAAAACCAAAGAAAGCCTCGGCCATACTGTTGCATCAGAGATTTGTAATTTCCTTATTGTGGTACTGGAGGATTGCTGCAGTGGCTTCACACTGTCTCCTTTTCAGGCTGCTCTTCCTAGGTCCCAGGAGAGCACTTCCCAGCTTTCTGCTGATTATTTGTTTTGCTTCTTCTTTAGAACTTAATCCTACAAGTGGGAATCTTCCTTCTACAACACCAATGTCGCCATCAGCCATTTCAACCCAGAACCTGGTCATGTCTTCATCAGGCGTGGGTGGTGATGCCAGTGTCACCCTAACCCTGGCTGATACTCAGGGCATGCTGTCTGGAGGTCTGGATACCGTTACGCTGAACATCACCTCTCAGGTGAGTTCCTTCAGGGGAAACACCTCCTAATCCTTCCTAAACAGTCCACCAAATGGAAACCAAACCTTCAAATATATAAGCCTGCCCATGGGGCCGTCCTCATTCAAACCAGCACAGTTGCTGTCTGTCAGTCCAGCCCTAGTTAGCCCCTTGTCAGTTCCTCAGTGTGGTCACATGACAACCCCAGTCAGGAAGCAGATCGCGATGAGTGCCACTGCCCATCTTCTTTCCTTGTCTATTCAATCTGGGGGCATGTGTTGCCTACCCTTAGGTGAATTTTCCCTCTTCAAGTAACTCAGTCTAGAAATTCCCTCACAGAAGTGTCCAGAGGTTTGTCTGCTGGGGAATTCTAGATGCAGTTAACGATTGTCGTTAGCCTTATCTTACTTACCTACAACCTCTGCAGTCATTACTTTCTCTCTTCAGGTTTGTCTGTTGTGTTTATTTTATGTAAATTAGTCATGCATCGTGGTGTCCTTTGTGAACAATTCTTCTTGTTTGAATTCACAGGGTTCACCATGTTACATAGTATGTATCTACTTCATCCTTTCTAGTGCAGAAAATATTTCTTTATACAGCAAGGACAAATGACACTCCTTTGCACGAATACCCCTTAGTCCATCTATATGTCTAAAAGTTGACGAGAATTGAGCAGTCCCACCTTTAGGCTGCTGTGAATAAGACCTGCTGAGACCTTCTGCCGGTTTTCAAGTGCACCTAGGTTTTAGTTCTTTTTGATTGTGGGTCATACAGTGAATCTTGCTTTCCAAAGTGATTGTGCCATAAAAGAGTTTTCTTTTGATTACATTTTATTTATTTGTGTGTGTGTTCACTTGTGTTTAGGCATGTGTGTGACACTCATGTGGAGGTCAGAGAAGAACTTGTGGGAGTCAGTTTTCTCTTTCCACTATGCAGGTCTTGAGAATCAAATTTAAGCCATTAGATTTGACAGCAGATGCCATTACCCAGTGAGCCATATTGCCAACCCCTAAAGGTCTTTTTAAAAGACTACATGGTTTGATAATGTGACAACTTCTCAAGTGATAATTATCTTTTGACAGGGTCAGCAGTTCCCAGCACTGCTCACGGATCCCTCTCTCTCAGGCCAAGGTGGAGCAGGCTCACCACAAGTCATATTAGTGAGCCACACTCCACAGTCCTCATCTGCTGCTGGAGAAGAAATAGCTTACCAGGTATGGCCCCTGTATGACTCACACTAAGCATCAGGAACAGGGAACGGGACCTTGCCAGGCGGCCTAGTGAATGGAGCCAGCCTCTGGAGTGTAGTCCCTGTCAGACTCAGAGCAGAAGTGCTGAACTCTGGGTCTTATGGGCGTGGCAGGTGGTGGCTCCCAGATCTTGGTCAGTAGTAGTTGTGGTTTAGAACCATCAACTTTGATGTGGCCAACAGTAAATGGATACGCTTGCAAATTGGTGTCTGCTATCTGCTTCTGGCTCGGTCTATGACTTTTTACTTGTAATTATTATTTCTTTTGATATATTTTCTTGAAGCACTTATTGGTTCTTTTATTTCTTCCTTTATCTTTTCATGTACACATTATCTGCATATATATATGTAAACATATATATATATATATATATATATATATATATATATATATATATATATGAATGCTAGGATTAAAAGTGTACACCATCACCACCTGGCTGATAGATCTTTTTCTTAAAGTGCATGTTTTAAGATCCAAAATTGTAATAAATGATAGTCTGAACATAGAAAAGTGTACAAATATTTTCTAATACTTTGCTGAGTCAGAACTAAAGAATAGGTGATTGCTGGCCTCTGAATTTGGGGAGCTTTAAACTTTGAATATTCTTAGGAAATGAGACATCTACTAGTTTACCAGTTTTTCAGTAGGACAAAGACTTAATTTTTTTCATAAAGAGATTGAAAGTTATCAATTCCAAGGAGGTCCCTAATCTTGTTTCAGTGACCAGAGCTTACAGAGGCATCTCAGTGTGTGTAACTCTAACTCATTGTGTCAAACTCCAGTACCCACCACCAATACTCACAGGACAGAGAGATCTGGTAGAATCATGTTAACTCATGTTTTGTTGCCTCAGTAGAAGGGTACAGAGTAGATAGAGCAGAAGGAAGGGGCAGGAAAGAGCTCAGATCTCACACTCAGGTGCAGTGTTCCAGGCGGTGCTGACTGTCCCAGCAGCTGTGGTGTGACTGTCCCTGCCAAGTCTTAGGGCTGGGTAAGTTGCTATGGAGCAGCCCCATTGCCACCTTAGCCACCAGCTACCTTCTTTCCCAGGTCAACAAGACAGAGGGAAAGTCGAGGTCCCCAGGCTAACAAAGCCAGGTACTCACCAAAAATGACACAGTTAGCTGACTGCCTGGCATGTTCAAGGGCATCATTGTCAGAATCTGTTTTGCCTGGCAGGGTGCCCCTACTTAGGTCATGCCTTCCTTAAGGCTCACTCTGGGGTTTCAGCTCCCAGTCTTCAGCTGTTGCCCACACACCATGCACCAGAGAAAGCTCTGACTCCTTGACCATCACTTCAGTTTCTAGTGTGTTTGTCTGACTTCTGTATCACCCGAGTTTCCAGGTTCCTAACTCAGTACAATACCGAGGCAGCCATTACCCCTTCTTGTTTTATGTGGCTGGTGAACTGCTGTCATTTAACTTGTGGCTTTCTCTAGCATTCAATTTTATATAGCTCCAGTGCCACAGAGCATTCCAATATCAAAATTAGTTTGAAATTTCTTTACTCCATTTGAGAAGTAAGTACTAATGAAGTGAACTAAATACCAAAACCTTGATCTAGCTTGTGATTAGTTTTTCAGAGTTTAAAATGTTGAATACAAAAATGAGCTGGGGCCGGGGGAACTAATATGCGTAAGCGACCAGTTCTGAGGCGTTCTCTTAGGTGTTTTCTGTGAGTTTCTCTACCAGGGCTCTGCACTGTTCGCACTGTCAGTGTCTCTGCTTAGTTATCCATGCCTTGAGGCCTCTGGGCCCCACGCACAGTCTGCGTGCTCCCGAGCCTTTGGGAGGAGACTGTGGAAGTGGTGGGGACCTTGGGCTTTACCCTTGGCCAATGTGTTCCTCCCTGTGCCAGCACATTCAGGCTGGTGAGCTGTGGGCAGCCCGACACTGGTGTGAAGCAGGTCGTAGTGGCAGTGTGTGAGGAGGGTCAGCCCAGGTCCTAACAGAGCCCATGTTAAGCTGGCAGTAGCTGTCAGAGCACTGACAGGTGGAGTTTTAATGTCTTGTGGTCGAGTCCTTGAGCAAAGGGCTTGTCTTTTCTTTCTCTTATTTCTTCATGATTCATTTGGAAGGGAAATCCGTGCTGAAAAAACCTGACAACAGCTTTTCAGGTAAATATCTGTATCTGTGTCTTACAAGCCATGTATGGCTTCTTACTGGTCTGCCTTTACAAGAGCAGAGTAACTCACATCTCTGCCTGCAGGTCAGGAAGCCTGCATAGTGACAGATTCACACACAGCTAGCTAAGTGAGGCTTAGCTAGCAGGAGCTTGCACTGAAGCCATTGGCATTTCCTCTTTTGCTCCTGTTGCTTCCTGTAGAGAGAAAGCCGGTGCTTGCTGCTGTGTACTTGAGTGTGGCTCCCCTGTGTCTAGCCATCACTGCCCAGCAGGGGAACTGAGGTTGGGGCAGCCTTGATGGTGAAGCATACTGAGAAGAGCCAGAGCTGCCGAGGACTCAGTGACAAGACACTGCTGTTTATGAATAGAACAGTTAGGCATTGGTGTTGGCTTTCCTGCTCACTGTGTCAGCTGGGCCCATTGGAAACTTTTTAGAGAGAGGTCAGGTTGTTGGGAGGAGTGAGTGAAGTACACCAGGCCTCAGCATCTCTTGAGGAAAGTGTTTGAAAGCAAATTCCTGCATTTCCAACGGTAAGGTAGCAAGCTCCTGTTCAAGTCGTTATTGCTTGTCATTTCTCTTTCTTTTTAAGACTCGTTTTATGAGTGCTTTGTCTGTCTGTGTCATGTGTGCGCAGAGGCAAGAAGAGGGCATCAGATGCCAGGGACAGGAATTAGAAACCGTGTGCTGAGAGTCAAGCCTAGGTCCTTTGACCAAGTGCTCTGAGCTTCTCAGCCGTCCCCTAGCTATCTCTCTTTCCCATCACCACAGTGTTTTATTTACTGTTACAGAACAACTTTGATATCATTTATTCCAGGGTTTCTTAAATCTTTTTTTTATTCACAAGCAGTACATTTTCTGTGAGGACCTTAACACATACTTAGTTATTTTTTCTCCCTTTTATATGCCTACTGCAAAATGCCATCTTTGCAGTATCTTTTCTTCTTCTATTTTCTATTTTGTATCTTAAAATTTTTGTATTTACTCCTATATATTCTGGTATTTTGAAAAAGTATTTGATGAACTAGTAATAAAAATATTGGCAAGTCACATAAAGTACAATTGCTTCATTAGATCATTACTTATCTATAAAACTGAAGTCTACTGTTTCTGTGGGATGCACAGTTTTCCTTTTCTGCCTTATTTGCTTTTCTGTAAGTTCTGGTGGCATCCCATGAGACTGACTTGAAAACCTACTCATTAGTTGGGATCTAGGAAAAATAATTTAGTTCAGACAAAGTAATTAAACAGCACTGATTGCTTTTAAGGCTTTTAGTGCAGATACGGAAATTCAAACCACAGCATTTTTATTACATTTGTATTTTATGTATGTGCCGTGTGCATGCACATAATGTGTGTGGGAAGCAGCACACGGGTGAAGGCCACAGGACAAGCTGAAGAAGTCTGTTCTCTCTGGTCAGCAGGCTGGGAGGTAGGCATCTTTATCAGCTGAGCCATCTTGCTGGTCCAAACCACAACATTGTTAAAGCAACGTCTGATAGTTTACATGCCAGGATCACTCATATGTGCCTCCTTTAGTCTTCACCAGCCCCGACTGCGGGTCTCTGTGCTCCATTGTTGTTCAGCTGTGGTTGAGCACATAGCTGATGTGGCCAGGGGGCAGTTGGGCAGCTGGGCTGATGTCGGTGGGTCATCCCCAGACTCCCTCATTGTTCAGTGTTCTTAGTGTGAGTATCCCAGTGATTCCAAGGTAGCCATGTTTCCTGGCCTTGAAGAATATCCAAGGTCTTCCCTGGACGAAGGTAGCCACCAGTGTCGTGTTAGGCAGAACAGCATGATCTTGCTGGGTGACAGCCATTAGTGCATACTTTGGTAGTAATGTGGAACTCCTGACTCTCCAGGTGACTGATGTCTCTGCCCAGCTGACCCCCAGCAGCCAGCCTGAAAAGGAGGGCCCTCCGCACCAGTGCCTGGACTGTGATCGTGCCTTCACGTCAGCTGCCGTGCTTCTGCACCACAGCAAGGAGCTGCACGGGAAGGAGCGCATCCACGGCTGCCGCGTCTGCAGGAAGGCCTTCAAGCGTGCCACACACCTCAAGGTACATACGCCCAGTTACAGGTCCGCAGTGTTTCTGACGAAAGTCACGCAGTGCCACATTTCAGTGATGTAAATGTGTGTACAAAGTTGTGGGCATAATAGGCCTGCCTGTTGCGTGCATGTGAGTAGACTGTACACATTCATGTGCAATTCAAAACCAGTTTCTAACGTGAATTAAAATGGCACCAGACTGTCATGTCTCACCCATCACAGTGACAGTAATGTGAGAAGCTGTCAGCACATTTAAGGCTGTGGAAAACAAACTCATGGTTGCTGATACTCACAGTATGACAGAACGTTCTCTGAGGAAGTAAAGGGGGACTAACAAAACTTGTGTTTACTGGAGCAGCCTTGCAGGGACCCCTTTGGCCACACAGGATGGACATAGGGCACCGAGTTGGCCACTGTAGAAGGGGTCAGATAAAGGATGAGCATCCCTAGGGAAGGCCTTACATATGTATGTAGGAAGGGTGAAGAATCCTGGTTACGGATTTCAAGCTGAGGGGCTGGGGAAGACAGAGTGTCATTATATAGTCCTGGCTAACCTGGAACTCTCTTTGTAGACCAGGCTGGCTTCAAATTCATAGAGATCCAGCTGCCTCTTGCCTCCCTGAGTGCTGGGATTAAAGATGTGTGCCATCACACCCAATCTTCCCTGTTTCCTTTTCAAAGGAACCCTGTGGATATCAGGGTAAGAGGACAGACAGTGGCAAAACCAAACAGCTCTGCAGTGGAAAAGCCTGTCAAATGCTACTTGAGAAGCTTACCATAGTCAGCACCTACCATCATAAAGCTAGTATGTGATGAAAACAAAGCTATGACCTAACTGGGGAGGAAAAAAAAAAAATCCAATAAATCACAGTTGGGCCATTCTTCATAATACCAAGAATCCTCCAAACTGTCAAGGCTGTCTGAACCAGGAGAGCTGAGAACCTTTTGTGTCCAAGAGGAGTGTGTGGAAACATGACAGCTTAATGTGTGTCTTGGTTTGGCCTGGTCAGTTCTTCCTATCAGAGAATTAGGTTTACACATACACTAACAATACTGTGTCACTGCCATTCTGAATCACAGCAGTGCTCCACGCCAGTGTAGCAGGTAGGGGGGGAGCCTGTGGCCATGAAGTGTGATGTGTATGGGCTCTCCTTGTGCTTTTCACCTCCTTTCCTGTAAATCTAACCCTGTTCTAGTTGAGCAGTGTCAGTCCTGTACAGATGGAGACCTGCTGTGGGCCTGGGCTGTGTTCCTGAGAGGCTCCAGCAGGACCAGGTCTGCATATAGCTTGACCATGCTTTAACTTTTCTGTGTGCACCGAGCTCAAGCTTACTGTCCTCTGGGAACCTGGGCACTCTGAGGCTCTGCTCTAACCCATGTCTTTATCATGGGGCTGACCTTACTTCAGATGAGACAACTGCCCCATCTTTGCCATGTGTGATAGTCTGGCCGTCACCATGTAGGCATGGGGTACCTTCCTTTTCATCTACCCAGAGCCACACTAACCACTGTCTACACATGAAGGCTTGGAGATGAAGAAGCCAGGCTTGCAATCCATTTCCATGACTAAAGATGAAGTAGAATGCCTGATGTAGGGAAGGAGAGGAAATTGGATTGGAGAGAGAGAGAGATTAGACAGGGTAGACGTACACGTAAAGGCTCTCGTCTGCTCTTTTGAAGGTCCCTGGCAGGATTCACCCTGAGCAGGCTCTGTCGGGAAGAGGCACTTTGCAGATGACCTAGTAGTAAGACATGAAGGGTAACTCTCTGTCTGCTTTCTGCCCAGCCCATACATGGCCAGTCCTGTTTTGCTGTCTCTTGTCTGCATATGGTCCCTGCACATTGAGGCTGAGATGTGAGCTGCCCCAAACCCACTTACCTAACACAAGGCTCTTACAACACACACATGCACACTGTCTGCTCCCTCCTGGAAACTCCATGTCCTCAGCTCTCACTCTCATCGCCCACTCTTCACCATGAGAGCTCCAGGAAAGCATGCAGCCATACTTGAGGCCATAAAAGAAGTTTATCATGAGACAGTAGCCATCCACAGACAGGACACAGGGACTATGGGTAACCCTCTCTGAGTCCCCCTAAACAAGTCATTCTTGGCAGAGGATTGATTTTTACTTTTTGATGTGCTGGAAGAATTGAGTGTCTGATGGTAGTAATTAGGTGATGAAGGAATTTGCAGTAAGGGGAGGGGTAGGAGTGAGCAGCAAGAGCAAGTGCTGTCCTTCGCTCACTCTGCTCCTTATCAGAGATGCCTCTCAAGCCCCTTACTGCCACTGCCCAAGTCTGCCCTTTGTACCTGGCTATAGGGGAAGTCTGTCTGTCCCGATGCATGCACTCAGCACATGTGCAGGAGCTCCCTGCGGAGAAAGGCATGGCAGCACCTGTGGGTACATCAGAGTCACACTTGACTGGCCCTCTGACAAGAGCTCCCTTTTGGGGAGCCACTCAATTTCAGTGTAGCAAACACTACCTGCCGATGAAGAGCGCAGCTTGCCCCTAGGTCTTAGACCCACCAGCTTCAAAAGCAGCTCTGATACTGTGCACACTACTAGAGTTGTCACAGCAACGCTCCCTTTCTGGAAATGGCTGTAGAGTTACACCATGGTCCTTCTCAAATAACGTATTGTCTGTTTCCTATATCCCTCTGCCTTCAAACACCAATGACTACGGTGTATAAAAGAAAGAGTTCTGAAAACAGAGAGCTCCATCCTCTTGAAGCATGATGTTCACATAGCTTTAGTGTGCCTCAAGTGAAGAGGGAAGTGTCAGTTTCAGGTGTTAACGGTAGCACAGCACAGTGTGGAAACTACTGCTGACGTCTATGTTCTGTCGCCTGTGCTAACCCTTGCTGACCTTCAGTACCTAGGTTAAGAACTGCTTTCTCAGTCTTCGTTGTCCTCTGGCCCACCTCCTAGGCTGTCTGTGTGGGCAGGGTTCTTCTTCATGAATCTGCGATGCAGGTGCAAACAGTACAAGCCTTTGCTTCTCTCAATCTCCTTTAAGGGCTTGGGTAGCATAAAGACTCCCTGTCAGGGTAATTGTGTACTGTATCAAACCTTGACAATAACCTCGGTGCCAGCCTCAAGAGGGGGCCGCACAGTGCTGCCATATTTCTGAGGAAGCCAGATCACATTGATGGAGAATCACTGATAGGTTGAGTCACACGCTGTCCCAGGTGCAGTTATCTGAGGCTGTCAGCAGATGTGGAATGCCTCGTCCTGTGTAGTTGTGTAATTGGTGGACAGGTGCTCTGTGAGAGTTGCTGGAACAGTCCTATCTCCGTGGATATTAGCCAAGCCTTTGTGAGCAGGGTGTGGGCCTTGACTTCTAGGTGGACTTACAAAGTGCGGGCTTCATGAGGCTCCACTGGAGTGCGCTGTGGGGGGTGGGGGTGGGCAGCGTCCCTGCTCTGCCTTCAAAGCCTGAGGAGGGCGGTACTGCCACTCGTGTGGACATGGAGCTCAATGGCCAGAGCTCCTCACCTTCCTGTCACTGTGGTGGGCTCTGGGTCCTGAAGTCCCAGTCAAAGGGTCACCTATGAGCTTGTCCTCACAGGTTGTTGGAATTGCATGATGGTTTCTTTTCTGTTGCTGTTTGAGGGCTTTCATGTTCCATTAGGGCTAACATTTGTTGGTTTCTGTGTGTTCTTCCAGGAGCACATGCTGACACACCAGGCTGGTCCCTCACTCAGCTCTCAGAAGCCCAGGGTCTTCAAATGTGACACCTGTGAAAAGGCATTTGCCAAACCAAGCCAGCTGGAGCGACACAGCCGCATTCACACAGGTAGTGAGATGTGCTGTGCTGTTGGGTGTTGAAATAGACAGTTGGTTAGTGAGAAGGTGGAGTTAAGCATATAAATATGTGTGATAATTATTTACAAACAAGGTCCTTGTGTTCCACTTTGCCCTAATTTTTGATCAACTTGTTAACTTGACTAACTTTTCCACTTGAGGTTTGGCATTTCTACACGTGACCTTAGGGAATAGAAGTGCTTCCATGTGGTGGCCCTCTTCCCTCTTGTGGGTTAGGAGGGTAGAGGGCACCTCTCCAGCCCTCCAAGCCCACTGCTTTGCTCTCTCTGCTCTCTGTTGACCTTGCACTCTACTGTGTTGACTGTCTGTATCTGCTCAAACCTCTTGTCACTGAGGAAAAAACGGTCAAAGAAACAAGTGCTCTTGGACTGTAGTATGTTTATAACCTCCTCCCTGGGCAGGCAGAGGCCAGAGGGTTCTGGCGCTCACTGCCCAAGCCAGCCTAGCCTCCTTGTCGAGTTCTGGACTGTGAGAGACTTTGTCAAAAAGCAGAGAAACTGGACAGTGGCTCACACCTGTAATACAGCACTGGACAGGCAGGCGAATCCCTGTATGTGTGAGGCCAGCCTGGTCTACACAGCAGGTTCCAGGCCAGCAGGATTACCCTGTTTTAGAAAAGAAAAGCAAATAGTAAAAAGCAAAGTAGACAGCTCCTGAGGAATGACACCGGAGGTTGTCCTGACCCCAAAATGCTTGTGCACTCTCTCACACACAAATACACAAGTGCACAGAAGCATACACGATAGAGAAAATGCTTTCGTTTGCTTTTTCAAAGCTATGTTGTAGTTTTTGAGTTTTACCATGTTTTCCTGTATAGTGAGGCACTGTGGTGCTAAAGTCTGGCTTTGACAGGTTCCAGGGGAAGAACTGAGGCATGTGGAAGTGAAGTTCACTGGGCACTCCTGCTGGTCACAGCAAGTGAGCGAAAGAAAAGTGAAAAGCAGGAGCTCGAACCTTAGACCTTCAGACTAACTCACTCGGTAGAGTGAATTATTGGGGCATTTTGGCTCCCCTTCACCCAGGGGATAACCCTGAGGGGTGACTTACTAACTCTTCGTGAGCCAGTGGGAAGAAAAGAACCCCCACATTCATACAGTGAAGTAAGAGACTTCAACACTTCACATATATTCACACTATATGTATGCACAGATGAACATACAGCCATGTAGATTTATACATTGTGTACATTGTGTGGATGGAACAAAGCTCACAAGCCCCAGCCATCCTACACATGTACATATGTACATATAAACAAATACATATCTGGTAGATAGAGTAAAGCCTTGACAAGCAAGCTGTAACAGTTACACACACACACACACACACTCACACACACACACACACCTGGTGGATGGAGAAGGCTGGAGTGGCTCCTACTTCCAACCTACATACAAACAGACATATATACATATATCCAACTGGCTGGATGGAGAATGCTCAACCAGCCTCAACCTCCAGAGTTTCTTTGTTCCCAGCCCTTATATAGCATTTAATACAGTGTCTCTACGTCAGGAGAAAAATGGCCATAAAAATTATCACAAAAATAGAGAAAATGTAGTGAGGTCAGGATTATTGATTGCTTGTCCTTCTAAGCTTTCCTTACCTCTGTCTCCATGCAACAGCATTTCATGATGTAGTTTAAAGGTATCAGTTTCCAAGAGGTTATATCAGGGTTAATGTTTACATAGCTTTCCATTAAGACTGCATCTAAATAATCATGTGTCAGCTAGTTATGAGCTCATTGAAAGCTTAATGTTATTTGACCTAGTGCACACCGAGACCTGACTGAGAGGAAAGTTTACTCTGCTCATAAGCCAGCCTCAAGCCCACCTTCTCCCTAGTGTAGTTTCCGTGTCAGTGGCAAGTGAAGACTCACAGGGTTCCTCGAAGGTTTTTGCTCTTCTGCAGGGGTGGGGTGGGGTGGGGTGGGGTGGGGTGGGGTGGGGTGGGGTGGGGTGGGGTGGGGTGGGGCCTGACATTATTCTATAAAATCATTATCAGAAATCATAAAATCATCAGTTCGCCTAAACAGCATTATCTTATCAATGTACATCTTCATTTTGTCTCCGTAAGAAATCAGTCCAGCAGAGTGAAGCGATTCCACCAGAGCAAAGGCCCTGAGGATTTTTGCTATGTCAGACATATGAGAAATACAGTAATGACAAGCATGGGAAGACAATTAGCAGCAAGAAGCAAGCTAGAGACAAAGTCCCTGAGGCCTTGCCTTACCAGGGCTCACCCATCATGGACTGTACAACGGTGGGCCACCTGCAGGAAGCTCAGTTGCTTCCTCAGGCCCATTCCTGGCTCCTGGCATGGTGGTAGTGATACTGTACCTTCTAGAGCTATATGGGTGTTGGATATTGAACTTTGAACAATTCTTCTACAGGTTTTTTGTTGTTGTTGTTTTAAATCAGGAAAACACTGAACTTGATGGTGGTTGCCTCATGCCCTGTAATGTGCATTGATGGTTTATAACTACATCGTGTTGTCATTTTGGGTGGAAACACTGCTTGACTGAGAGGGCTTGAGACCTTAGCATGGATATCCCGAAAAGGATATCAGTGTGGAGCTGAGCCAGTGAGAAGGCCCCTCTGTGCCTTGTGCTTCCGCAGCTGCTGTACTGCTGTTTCTCTGTGTTCCAGTCAAGCCAGCGTTCCATGTTGGCACTGATTCTCCCTCTGAAGGCAGGCACATTCCTTGATTGTCTTAAGTCCCGATCGGTTAGCTGAGCTCTTAAACCATGCAGGGGTGGGAAGTATGCTGCCATTCTTTGTTCTGTAGCAGACGCAACAGCTTCTAATAGATCTCTGGCTGCCTCTCAGCTCTCAAGATCACTGGTGCAGCTGTACTGGTCTGCTCTGTCCCTTGCTGAGCCTTACAGGGTTGAGTCAGCTACCAGCTGATTGTTGGGCATTCTGGAGAAAAGGCCATGTCTTACTTTTTCAAAGAGGTGGGCAGAACCCAGCTTCCATACATGTGGATTACTCCCAGCCAAATAAATGCTTCAAGGGGCCGTGTGCTTAACCAAGGGCCTGCCTCTCATCTCTTCTTCCAAAGGCTGCTGCTAAACAGCCCAGAATCACTGCACTCAGTCAGGAGGATCAGGCAGAAACTTCAGTTTTGGAGTTTCACCTGAGGATACTGAGGTAAAGCCTCACTTGCCATGCATGGCCACTAAAGAGAAGGGACAGAACCAGCTCAGCATGCTCTGAGAGCGGGAGTGTGGGTCCCCGCTGTTCAGCAACTATCTGGAGGCCTTGTGGGGAAGGACCCTCATCACAGCAAGAAATTACCAGTCTGAGCATATGGGAAGAACTTGTAGGCAAAAGGAAGAAGCCACACCTCACCCACAGGGCACCAAAAGACCCTAAAAGGTTCAGTGTTTGGGGGTTTGCTCCCAGAAGGCAAGTCCGCTGTGGCTTGTCTACAGAGACAGTGATGTCTGGTGGGCATCTCCCAGCAGATGTCAGGCATGGCAACTCTCAGATTCTGCCTTCATCTTGTTCCCCCTCTCCCTCCCTTCCCCTTTTTCTTCCTTTTCTTTTCTCTCTTCTTTCTCCTGAGACAGAGTTGAACTGTAGAGCTCAGACTGCCTCGAACTCTGAATGTCCTTCTGTAGCCTCCTGAGTACTGGGATTTCAATCTTCTATCACCATCCCCAGCTTCAGAGTGAATGATCAGAGCCTAGCAGCGTGAGCAGCGTGGCTGTCTGTTCTCAGTCTTCCCGTAGTGTGCAGGCCAAAAGAAAATCATACTTTAAGTAGACTTGATATTCACATGTTCAAATGCCTGTTTTTGTAACATATAAAATGTATTAAGACATTTTGTTTTAATCATGTGTGTTCTGAATATTTCTGAGTCTGGGCACTGGCTGAGTAAGGTTTCATTTTCATCTCAGCATGGCGTGTCTTTGCCTTGTCCTGCTGATCTCTGGTGGTGGCAGCAGGAGTGTCCCTGAGTTGTCCTCCATGTTTAACTGTGTGGCATAAGTGACAGCTTGTGCTCCACCAGCATGTGCGGTCTTGAGAATGGCACTGACCATGGCTGTCTCTGCACACAGGGGAGCGGCCGTTCCACTGCACGCTGTGTGAGAAGGCCTTCAACCAGAAGAGCGCACTGCAGGTGCATATGAAGAAGCACACTGGTGAGCGGCCCTACAGGTGTGACTACTGTGTCATGGGCTTCACACAGAAGAGCAACATGAAGCTGCACATGAAGCGAGCGCACAGCTTTTTGGGTAAGAAATCTCTCTCAGAGAAGGCACACATTTTTAGATGGCTAGGTCACTGGGCATTTTCCAAGTGCCACTGTAGCATATTTTACAGTGGCCAGGCTTCGTAGTTGCTATAAGGACTGCAGTTTATCAAAGAGGCGATAAACAAGGACATTAGGAAGAGGCTGAGTGGAGTTGACACCTGTGCTGTGTCTGTTTTCCTTGTTCCCCCTCTCCCTCCCTTCCCCTTTTTCCTCCTCTTCTTTTCTCTCTTCTTTCTCCTGAGACAGAGTTGAACTGTAGAGCTCAGACTGGCCTCGAACTCTGAATGTCCTTCTGTAACCTCCTGAGTACTGGGATTTCAGTCTTCTATCACCATCCCCAACTTCAGACAGTGCCTTTCAGAGTGAATGATCAGAGCCTAGCAGCGTGAGCAGCGTGGCTGTCTGTTCTCAGTCTTCCCGTAGTGTGCAGGCCACAGGCCACAGTAGTGTGAGGAGGCAGAATCAGCCTGGAGTCTACACAGACTGTGCGGGGCACCCTTGCCTCCATTCTGTGTACTTAGTGCAAGCCACACGAGCCCCACTTCTCTGTGGCTTGATGCCACAGGATTGATGCCATCAGAACTGGGTTACAGTTATGAACGACTGCCTGCCTGCTTGAGGTTCTCTTTTAGACCTCACAGTAGCATGGCAGTAGTGTTGTTATTTAACAGAGGAAATCATTTAGGCCAGGTTGCACTAGTGGTAGGAGCTACGAAAGCAGGAATGTGTGATATTAAATCCAAGTCAAGCCCTGAAGAGGCAGTGAGTTTTACAGCTTGTACTTGAGGTTCATTTAGCTGTAAGACAGTTGGGTATGTTGGTGCCTTCGTGTGGTTGCTGAGGTTGTGTCCAGACATGTCTGGGCACCCAAGGGGTAGAACGCTGAACTGTGTGGAAGGTGTCTGTGATGTGAGTGTTATTAGTTGCTTGTCACTGGTGGTGTATTGACACAGCACTCAGGGTGTGAGTACCCACATCATAGTGGCCATGACCAACAGAAATTCTACCTCGGGTTCAGCACCTGTTTATTATGTGCCTGAGGCCCAGGGTTCCAGCCTTGGCATCACAGGTTGAAAGACAGTTTGCCTGGCTCAGATTATTTCATTTCACTGAGATGGAAAGCAAAGCAAGCAATAGATTTTGTTTCTCTGGTTCCCATATACTCTTAAGTGTTTATGTGGGCCTGGTTCTGAGATCTGAGTCCTCCTTTCTCTTTGCTTCTGCAGGAACCTTGCAGGCAGCCACTGTGGTCCAGGAACAGGATGGGGAAGAGCTAAGGACTCTCCACTTAGAGGAAGTGGTGCAGGAGGCGGCGGGTGAATGGCAGACCCTAACCAATGTGTTCTGATGCCAAGGAAAGAGGCCAAGAGCATCCGTGAAGTACGTTTGTGAAGATCAGAGCACTCAGAGTTTCTGTTTTAAAACCACAAGTGTTAAAAAGCTACCACAATAGTTTTTTAGCTAAAATTATCTAAAGAATCATTGTCCTTTAAAGACCAGCAAGAAAGACACTGGGCCATACATGCACTGTCCTCATTTGTCTACAAATCACAGAACCTGGGCACTGCCGTGGTGGCTTCTACCTTCTCATGGCCAGTGATGTCCTTAGCAGGTGAACTGGATCTGAATATCATTGCAGTGAGATTCATGTTAGCAAAAGACAAGTTAGCATGGAAAACACACGTGTGGTAGCGTACGAAGCTCAGAAGTGGTGCCATCACACATGGATGTTTTCCCACCTTTTACTCTGCATTCTGCTGATTAGTAGCAATCAGTTCTTTTTAGCCCACTCTTAAGCTAATGTAACTGATGCCTTGAGAGATGGCTGGACCAGTTCTCTCTCCACCACGGATACCTAATCCTTAGTTAGTTAGAAGAACACAAGATCTGGTGGGTGACGGCAGGGCCACGGAGGAAATCTGACCTGCAGGTGAGGACCAGCCGCTCACATGGATGTCCACATGCTTGCTGCATGAATCTTTCCGGTCACATGTGTTAGGTCACTGCAGAAGCACAAGCCATACCCTGTGAGCAGGAAGTGAAAAGAGTTGTCTAAGGGACAGGTGGCTGTCTCCATCCACCTCAGTAAATTTATCTGTATTTTAAGGCTAAGGACCCACAAGAAGCCTGCAACTTTTCTTCTCATGCATTCGGAGGTTGTTTTCATTTCAGGGAATTTTTTAGTGTCATCAGCCATGCCACCTGAGACACATCCCAAACCAAATCCTCCTGCGCTGAGCAGTGTGTGCGCCTCAGCATTCCAAAGACAGACGGTCCCCACTTCATATCGATTCCCTTGGAGCTATTTATATGTTCTATTTGTAAATACCCGTGTACATAGGCAGACACGTGGGCCTCCATGTGGCTGAGGAGTATATCTTGTAAATAGAAGCACGAGTCGTCTTCACAGCGCATCTGCGGCCACCCCCTGGTGCACCTCAGGCCCGTGTTTGTTCACTCTGTTAATAAAGGGATATCTTTTTCACTGTAACGTAAAGCTGGGCTCTATTTTTTTTTTTTTTCCTGAAAAAAAAACAAAAAATTGCCTTTATTTTCTCTCATTGCCTCCTTGGTTTTCAGAAGAGAGCATTTTTATTATAAATATTATGTGGACTTGTTCACTATGAGTCCTGAAGAGAGAGACATTTCACTGTTACTTTGAAAGGGCATCTTTTGATTTTGTTCACTTTTGTCATTTGTATATAAGTAATATTGACAGTGACATAAAACTTTTGTTATGTGAAAATATTTAAGTCAAGAGAACTGTTAAATATTATTACTTTTTTTCCAAACTGATTTGTGTATTGTATATTTTTTTAAGAAGAAAAAAGCCTTACTTGACTTATTGTGATACTGGACTTAAAAACCTGAGGCTCCCTGAATGTCATTGTGTACACCTGGCCGTGGTAGTGTTTTCAGAATAATTGTAATTGTGCGAGAGTTCTAAAGTCTCTGCTATTAATGCACTTTTTATTTTATAATTTTGTATTAAAGTATTTTAGAAATATTAATTAAGTTTAGTGAACAGATATCCCCCAATTGAAATTTTTGGATTTAAGGTTTTTGTTCTTGCTGGGTTATTTATTTTCCTTTCAGCATTAACTGTCATCTCAGGACATCTGTAGAGGGGCTGGCTACTTCCTGGTTGTGCAGTGAGTGCAGGGTGCTGACTGCGGCAGTTCATCACCTCTGTAAGGAAGGTCTGACCAGGTGAATCTGAAGCCTGCTTTTATTTTGGTTAAGAAAAAGAAAATGTACCAGTAATCAATTCTGTATCTTTTCTCAGTTTATTAGTAAGCAAACATGACGTGTGTGTGTGTGTGTGTGTGTGTGTGTGTGTGTGTGTGTGTTTTGATTTACTTCCTTACCATCAAAGCTGCTTCTTTACCAACATTCCTTGGAAGTACAAGGTTCTGAGAAGGTAGCTCACTTGAATATTGTGGTTTACAGGCTGGTCTCTGTATTTTCATGTTTGAAATGCTGTTTTAGGAAAGTTGTTTCTAGCCTCATATGTAACCAGGGTCTTGAGGATAGAGAACTGTATTTTTAGAACTCTATATAACATATCTGTTTTGAAATAACTAAATGCAAAATGACATTAGGAAATGTGGTGTTTGTGTTTTGTTTTGTTTTTAAATCATGCTTAAGATAGACTAGTTGGGTGGGGAATAAATGTCAATTCAGGTATTTCTAGCAGGAAAAAAAAAAAACTGTAATGATGTTTCTTTTACCTATGTGAAGTCCAGAGAATGCATATCCTCTTTGTGTCTCCCTGAAGTACGTCCAGTTGGCAGTCAGATATGGCCCTTGATAGAGCATCCTGTGTCTGGTGGGGTCCCGTAGGTACCACTTGCCCTTCAGTTCTGTGGAGCCACTTAGTTCTTAGAGGAGGCTGCTGGTTGCTAGAAGAACAGCTAAGCACATTCCTGAAGGCACGCTCTGGCAATCATAAGATGAACGCAGCTGAGGAGCTGAGGGAGCAGGAGCCTTCAGAAGGCTGGAGGTCTAGGTGGAGTTGTAAACAGAAATGCTCCTCACACCAGCAAGGTCTCCTGGAGGCAGCCCTTGTCAGTGCTGGAGGTGCTTGCGAAGCAGTGAGGAAATCAGGGAGGGGAGGACCATGCTTTAGGAGACCAAAGGGGCTCCTGAGAAATTGCTTCCATAGTGAGGTGCCAGTATGGTGAGCAGTGTGCACCAGAAAATGTGTATTGTTTTGTGTGCCCTTCACACCATGCTAAAGGAAATTTGAGTTCTGTTCCTCGGAATTCTCACAAGGACCAGCGAGTTTAGCATATCCGTGTAGTCCAGATTGCAGAGAGGAGGTTCTTCTTGTGGGCTCTGTCTCCTGAGGATTGTATTTACACACTAAGACTCAACGTTCCAACTTGAATGGTACCACACAGATGTGCCTATGTAGCATTTTATAACATACGTATCTGAAGGTCTACCCTCGGGTTCTGTGCCAAGAGATAGCTCAGGCCTCTTTGCATAAGGGTTTTCTCCCAAGCCTTTTTCAAAGGCCCTTCCCTTTGCCCTCCTAGCCCCACACCAAGAGTGACCCCAGGGTCTGGTGCTGCTAACTCCTGAACCTTATTCAGGAGATTGGTCCATAGTCCCTCTTTTTCTGCACTTGGTTTATATTCATCTGATGTGGGTAAAATTCATGTAATTCAGAGCAAAGTCTTCAGTGGACTGTGGTTGCAAACACTTGCAACCCCAACATTTGGGGAGTGGAGGCAGGAAGATCAGAACCTCAGTCATCCTCTACTACATAGCATGTTCCAGGCCAGCCTGGGCTACCAAGACAAAACCAAACCAAAAGCCAAGTAAAGTAAAATTTCAAAATGGCTACCCATGATAGCCCAGTTAGTGACACTTAATCTGTTTTGTTTTGTTTTTCCTTATTGTAGTGGAATAATTGAAATCTGGTTGCATCCTCTTTGCTTCTAAAAATTAGAGGTTTAAGGGAAACTGGCTGCCTGCACCCCCAGCAGTGTGGCGGTCAAGCCACTGCTGTTGCCAACTGGCTGCTTCCCAGGCGTGCTCACGGTTAGGTGAACACACTCCATTTCACACCCTACCTGCACAGGCGCTGTGGTCATTTTTTTGTATGGACTAAATGGTAGAGATCTGTTAGAGTGTCAGGAGCAATAGGCAGTAATCAAAAAACAAAAAACAAAAAACGTGCTATTTAATCTTTTCTATGTGTAACGCTTATGGCATGAAGACTTTTGTATTGAATCAAGATTTGTATATTAACAGGTTCTAAAATGCCATAGTGATTGTTCTTCAGCCACCACTAAGAAAATTCAAAGTTAATTTTTTAATTTACAGAAAAGTTCTCTTTTTATCTTCAGAATTGTCTCATGGTCTATTTATACATTGGATGATATTTATTTAATCCAGTTTTGTATTAGAAATTGATAGTGATGGCAAAAGCCACCGCGCTGGCTTTTAAAAACAATAAAAATAGTTTTTGTATTATTTTGAAACTCCTGTATATATTTGCTTCTTGCGGCCTGGGGTGAGGGGCAGCCACTCGCTCAGGTGTTGTAGGGGCATGAAGCTGCCGGCCCTTCCTTCTGGGGCACGCTTGCTCCTCTGCTGTGGTATGGTGTTTAAGAGGACCCAGAAAAGTGATTGAGCCCTTCCGGTTGATGTGCTTCCTCAGAGAATCAACGACCAGCCCTTCAGGCCCAGTGTTATTTTGTCACTTTCCAGGCTGCATGGAACCCACAGTCGTTCCTCCTGCCTAAGCAGCACAGCGATGCTTGTTTGGGGCCCACCGTGCTCTGGGGGGGGGGGGGTTAGGCAGAGCAGCTGGAGGGACAGATGCAGGATAGGGGGAGGGCTGATGAGAAGCAGCTCACTACCTGCATGCTGTGTCTTGGCAGAAGTTTGGCTCTGGATTTACTGGGGTGCTGATGACAGATCTCCTGCTGTGGAGCGCAGCTGTTCTAAGTATGTCGGGGATCCGAGGCCTGCCATGGAGTGGTACAAAGGCTTCGCCTGTGGGCTTAGCTGCTCAGGTATATCCTGCCCAGCCTGTGTTCCTGTCCTCAGGTAAGCAGCCTGGAGCTTTGGGAGCCATCCACAGCTGATCTATGGCTACCAGTCCAGGGAGGAAAGCACTGTTTGCCCTGGCTCCTGGCCACCTTCTCCAGGCTGGGTAGTCAGGACCTTGGAAGACAGAGGTAACCTGAAAGGCTGGTTTCCTGACTGTGACGGTAGAACTAGGGATCGAGTAGGGCTCCATGACCAGAGCTCTCTGTGGCCACTTTGTTGCTCGCTGGTGCCTTCTGGGAATGGTGGCAGTGGCATCTGTGCTCACATTGTCCTTTGTCTCAGTCCTAGGGCTCTCAGCTTTCTGGGCTGGGTGGGATAGAGCTATAGCTGCTGCAAAGACATCGTCTGATGAAGCAGGTACTCCGGGGCTTGGAGATACCCATGGCTTAAACCACAAAGAATTTTCCTACAAGTTTGATGACCTGCTTTCTCCACGCAGCTGGGAGCCCCAGGTAGCACCTCATGGAGTGCTTGCCAAGGCCTTCTGTCAGATCCGCTGTCATTCTTGGCCTTCTGCTATTGCCACATAACCTTTGCCTCCTTAGCAACAAAGTTGCATAAAGGGGCGAGAGATGCTTTAGCTAACTGTGCAGTCCCAGGTGCACAATGGCCAGGCGTTTCTGTCCAGTCTTTGTTTTTGAAGCTGCTTCAGAAACTGTAGGATGGAGATCCTCCAAACACAGATCTTGTGTGTGGGCAGCTTCACCTCCTTGGGTTCCGTCAACCATGGAAGAAAAGAGATCAAAAGTGGACTGTGCTCGGAGCATCTGCGGGCTTTCTCTTACCTGTTCCCCAGATGCCGCTGCAGTGTGGCAGCCATGCACATGATACTCAGGTGGGTGTTAAGCTTAACAAGTAATTGGGACTACTGTGTGCACATGCACTGTGCCCGGAATGTTCCCAGGTTGTGAGGTGGGTGTCCAGGGCTACAGGCAGACATCTCCAGCACCTTTCTCCTCAGACAGGTGGGTCTGCATGGACAGAAGTCCTCTCTCCCACTCTTGCTTGTCCCTCTGCTGATAATGCTTGAGCTTCTGCTTTCTTTCATTTAGCTTTTAGCGAGATGTTCAAATAACCCCAGATTTCACTACCAGGAGCTCTTTCTAGTAGCTTTTCATTTCTTAAGCACTTTTTAAATCTAGCAAAAATCAGTTATTCTTCCCCAGCCCTGGGCTCAGCCGTTACTGCCAGAAGACAGGCGTGTAGAAATGCTGGTAGGTGTGCTCGTTGCTGTCTATGAGGCCAGCAAAGATGGGGAAATCGAAGCGTGTGTGTTCGTACACACAGGCACTCATGCGTCCACCTTTCTCAGCCGTTTACCTTCTCCCATTTACCATTTAAATAGAACTATGCCCCATCCGGCACCCCTGAGTCCAGCCAGCACCCCACAGCTCCCCTTAGCCCCCCTCCTCCTGTATCTGCCTCCCCTCTGCCACAAGGAAGTATATGGCCAGCCTACCACATGTGAGGTAGGAAAGGGAAGTCCTTTTAATATCCGTGTTCACCAATGAATCTTCAGGGCCCTACCGTTTTTCTGTGGTAGGCAACCTCTATTGCTTGTCGCACCTTTATTTGGTGAGTTATAATTGAAAGTGAAAGTGTCTCCAAGGAGCCTGGGAGGCCCATGCCCAACTGTGGTGGCAGCAGCATCGTGCAAAGATCAGCAAGGGCCTGTTGGAAAACAGCTTCTTGAGCAGGGGCCAAGTGTCAGCTGCGCCCCTTTCCGCATCGCCTGTGACATCGAGGGGAGAAGGGCCCAATGCTGAGCGAGCCCGGCAGGAGCTGCAAACATGCTGCAGATACTGACAGCGAGTTCCAGAAGTCTGTGTGATAGTTCACAGCCGCGGAAGGTTCAGTGGAGAAGAGCCGGGAGAAGGAGGGCTCCCTCCCCCACCTCACCGAGACCCGATGATCTCACACCTGACCCTGGCATCAGGCTTTTCTTATGTCATAAAAGCTGTGCCGTACTTGCACTGGTGTGAACCATATGACTGGCAAGCCGTGTACTCTTGACTGAACATCCTGTTTGGCCAATCCTACGTTAATACCACTTCATTTAGAATTCTAGTGAGCATTCAATGTCTGCAGCAGACAAATCCCAGTCCAAAGGTGAGACATTGATGCTGGGGCATCTTGGAGTTTAATTATAGTATCTGGCCAAGTGTGAGGTTGAGGAGAGTAAGAAATACTTGTGTAAAAATAACCACACAATCATTATGGCTGAACTGTGCTGTCCTTACACATGCCTTGAAGCAGTGACTACCACTGTTGCTGTATTTATGATAGACAAGGGGGCTGGACACGGCATGTGTTAAGAACCATTAAAATAATTATTAGTGTCACTGATGAGTTCTTAAATTTTTTTATATTAAATGTACTGTCTCTCTCTGTGAGAGAGAGAGAGACTGTGGAAGTCAGAGTGCAAGTTTTAGAACTCCGTTTTGTTCTTCTACCATGGAGTCTCCGGGTTCAGAACAGTCAGTCACCTTTACCTGCTGAGTCCTCTCCCCAGCTCAGTGATGAGTTCCTAGTGCAAGCATTTCTCCTGATGCTCATTTTCCTATAAATAAGATATTGGGGGTTGGGGTAACTCGAACACTTAGCAGCTGGCGGACTCTTCCTTCCTGCCCTGGCTGCTTGGAATAATGGGACTGTCAGTTAAATGGCAACAGGACTGTCTTAATGCTAACACCAGACATGTAGACCATTCTGTGGCCACCTTGAGGAAACTACGTGGTGATCGCAGCTGATGGGCCAACTCCTGGAGGTGTAGTCTCAGCTGGGCTGCATGAAGCTGTTCAGACCAGACCTTCTTTTGGCTGTGAGGATCCTGGATGAACTCCAGATGAAGAGCAATCAGTTCCACCTATGCCAGAGGAGGAACACTGCTGAGTGGTCGAGCTGAGGAATGGCTTCATTGATAGTAAGTGGCTGGTCATAGTAAACGTCTGTAGCTGTGATTGGTGCTAAGCAGAGCAGCAAAGCCTGGCGGGTGCTAAGGAATCCTGACTTTCTATACCCACGCAAGCCCAATAAGTGCCTTTCACAAATTGATGATGGGTGAAGTGCCTGTTTGCTCTCTCCATGCTGGGATTCTGTCTGGCTTGGGTTGGTACAGGCCTTATGTTTATATCCATAGGCTAATACATCCCTCAACCCTCATCAGAGAAGCTTCTATTTGCAGTAGATGGCAACTTACTGTCATAAAACACCATGACCAAAAATAGCTTGGGAGGAATAGCTTTAAGTCTGTCATTGGGGCAACCTGGAGGCGGGAACTGGAGCAGACACCATGGAGGAACATTGCTTACTGGCTTGCTCCCCTCGGCTTGGCTTGCTCTGCTTGCTTTCCATCTCAGGGATGAAACCTCCCACATCAATCATTAATCAAGAAAATGTCCTATGGATATATTTTCTAAAGTAAGATTCTCTTTCCCCAGATATGTCTAGAGTTGTGTCAGGTGAATAAAAACCAACCAGTACAGGGTGGCTAATCCAGAGCCCCACAACTGAGCAGAGCACAGAGGCCAATAGGTGGCAGAACGTTCAGCCCTAAATGGGAGATCGGGTGTTTCCTCCGGTAGCAGAGGACCATGGCAGATCTGATGGTGGGGAGACTTTTTTTTTTTAATAGCTAATTGATTTTTATTTTATTTCATTTTGTAAGAAAATAAAGAGTCCCCAAAGATGTGAGTTTTTTTCATTTTTTAATATAATTTTTTATTTATTACAATTTATTCACTTTGTATCCCAGCTGTAGCTCCCTCCCTTATTCCCTCCCAATCCTGCCCTCCCTCCCTCCCTCGCTCCCTCCCTCCCTCAGCTCCTCCCATGCCCCTCCCCCAGTCCACTGATAGGGGCGGTCCTCCTCCCTTTCCATCTGACCCTAGTTTATCAGGTCTCATCTGGAATGGCTGCACTGTCTTCCTCTGTGGCCTGGTAAGGCTGCCCTCCCCCCCTCAGGGTTCATGTCAGAGAGTTTAAAAGCCAGAGTGGTGAATGAATACAGGGGGCATCAGCACCTAAGAATTCACAGTGACTGTGGCCCTGATATGGTTTTACGTAGTGCAAACATCTTTGTATTTCCAAATCCTTTATCTGGGAGGATTTTTTTTTTTTTTTTTTTTTTTTTTGAGTAAAAAGGACAAGGAGTTGGGTGGACATCAGCCTTTTGTTTTTTTAAGATCTTAAAAATGCTTTTATGTGTATGAGCATTTGCCTACACGTATGTACGTATGTATGTGTCCCCTGTGTATGCCTGTCACCTGGGGACAGTCTGAACCTCCATGTGGGTGCTGGAAACCAAGCGCAGGTCCTCTGCAGGGCAGCTCTTAACTGCTGAGCAGCTCTCTAGCCCCTCGTGGGTTTTTGTTTTGCTTTGTTTTAATTTTGTTTGTTTGTTTGTTTTGTTTTTGTTTTGTTTTGTTTTGTTTGTTTTGAGACAAGTTTTTTTTGTGTAACAGCCCTGGCTGTCCTGGGACTTGATTTGTGGACTAAGCTGGTCTCAAGCTCACAGAGATCTACCTGCCTCTGTCTCCCAGTTCCTGGGGTTAAAGGCGTGCATTTTTGAGACAGCATTGCATTCTTAGAGTTCACTATGTAACCTTGGCTGGCCTCACACTCACTGTGATACTCCTGCCTCCATCTTCCAAGTGCTGGGATTGTAGACATGAGCCTCTGTGCTGGACCTGGGCGCCAGGTTTCCAGTCACCGGACTCCTGCTTGCAGAGCCCAGGGGCCTGAACTCTGAATGGTGCATTAACGTCTCCAGGTTCCTGTCCTGGGTACTTCTGCCGCAGCAACATGCCCAGAGAGACGGACTGTAATGCTGGCCCGCAGCAAGCTTCTCTGCCTACAGCTCATAGACACGAGGGTGTTCCACAGCTTCCCCTGGAAGCTCAGAGAGCAGCCAGTAGCTCTCTACACCAACACGAAAAGGAGGATTTGGGGTTATCCTTTAGAAAAAGAATTCTTGTAACCAAAAGCAAGAAAAACAAAACAACAATAACAAACAAATGAGGGGAGGGAAAGAGAGAATAGCAGAGGGATGAATCGCTTTGTGCCTTGCTCTTCTGGAGGCTGTTTCCTACCACAATGGCTGTGAACACTGCCCTCAGAGTGACTGCAAACCCTTTTCCTTGTGTGCTGTGGGTCAGTCTCTACTCCACCCACTTGGCTTACTATGGCATGGCCTTCTCAACATGTCCCTGGGCAACCTGGTGCTCCCGACCAAGGGCCGTGCACTCTATTCTGTGGCGAGGCTGTGCTTTACATGGCTGCATTTCTACAAGCCAGGACACAAAAGGAGACACCCGCACAAGGATTATCGCAAGTTTATTATTTTATTTCAATATTCAAGAACAGTAGGTGCTTCTGTCCAGCCGTTCTGCAGCATGTGCTGTCTGGTTGAAGAAGCCATGAGCAAGGTTGTTCCATCACACTGGAGGGCAAGTACTCCTGTGGAACTACCTGGAGGGTTTGTTTCTGGAATTCTCTTCCCTGCTCTTCTCTACCCTCACATTATTGTGGCTATATATTAATAGGAGTTATCTTAAACCCACACTACACTCAGAATTAGGACAGATTAACAAGATGTTTGTTGGTCTACATCAACCATCACCTCCCTTCCAAGGGACGATGGTGCCAGTGTGGGGCTCTTTGGGAGGTCTATAAAAGATACTCTGAATCAAAAGACATTGTCAGTATGTTAGAGGGGCAGGGAGCTGTCTATGGAAGTTAGAAGAATGGGGTTCCGAGCTCCTCATCCCTGAGGGTCGCCCAGGCCGGCCCTGCATCCAGGGTGGCCACTCAGTGACAGGAACACACCCAAATCAGCTAAGAATGAGTCCTTTCTATGAAGCAAGGGAGAGTTATTTTTCACTGATGTTAGTGTGTGCCAATGGGCACTGCCATGGCGAGCTGCTCCTGGCCACCCCAATGCAATGAGTGGCCAGTGAGCCAGCGCGAGGCCGCCAGAGAACTCCTGCAGTCCCACGACCAGATGCGCCAAGTCCCTGGACTCTCCCTGGGCTCTGAGAGGAAACGGGGTTCTTAAAGGCACCGGCTCTGGGGAGCCACCGGGGAGAGATGGTGACACAGCGGCCACACATGGCATCTCCAGCGAGTTTCCCTAAGTCCCGTTTCCTGTTGGGGCCATTGCCCAGCCCGCTCGCCCCTTTCCTTCCCTCTGCCACGCTCGAAATCAGCTGGTGGGGTGCAGGGGACAGCTGGCCTGGAAGCGTCCCCAGGGCCACCCCACTCTGGACTCTCACAGCTGCCCAGCCTGCGCTCACATACCACAAGCCCCCGGTGTATAAGCCACGCCAAGACTGTCTGATCCTGTTAGGAAAAACAAAGCTCTTTAGGGGGAAGAAAACAAAGGAAGCCTGGACCACACAGTCCCCTGCGCCACGCTCTCTGGCTCCTTGGCGGTGTGCCTGTCTATCCGTGCCCACGGAAGCTGGAGGGGTGTGCCTCGCCGTGAAAAGAAAGTCTGAGGATGGAGTAGGGGTGAACTGGGAAGGGTGTCCTCCGGAGTCGACCAGGGTACACGGGGCACAAGGCAAGGCAGAGAAGACCCCGAGGAAACGCAATCTTCAAATGAAAAGGGACAAACAGTTTTAAGTAGTCGGGGTGCCGAGGCCTGGCCCCGCCACTTGCAGGGCTCCCCGGGATTAGGAGAGGGTCTGCTCTAACTAGCTCACGGGTGCAAGTAGAATTAAAAGTTTAAGGCAGTTATATTAAGAAGCCGAGGGCAGGGCTCGGGAAGGCTGAGCAGGGAGGGCTTTCAGCGTCTCGCCATGGGAGATCCGGAGCGGCTGTCTCTTCCTCCCTGGGAAAAGGAAAAGACAGGGTTTAGGAAAGAACCTTTGTGGCTGCGTGATGTCACTTTTCCTCCACAGAGCTAGTTCTGAGGTTGTCCAATCACAAGCCGTTCAGGCCGAAAACGCTATCCCAGGATGCAGAGTCGTCCTGTTATTTCTCTCACCCTTCTTCAGAAAGCACTAACTGGAAGTTGCTGCTTAAGGTAAAGGCCCTTGACAATGAGCCACAGGGCGTGGCTAGGTCCAAAGCTCCCACAGCGTTGCCTCTGCAGGGAGAATGCTGTAGCTTTGTTATGTTGCTCCAAATGACCTGTTTACTTCCTCAGTTAGAGGACTGAGAACAGTGCAGGTTGGCACCGGGCCTAGTCACAGTGTGTTCTAGAAAGTGGGTTCAGTGCTGATGAGCCAGAACTGCTCCAGGCTTGGAGAGAGAGCATCACCTCCACTGTTGCCTCTGCCACAACTAGCAAGCTGCATGTGGGGCTTGAGGAGGCTCTGGAAACCTTGAAGTGGTGGGTGCTAGACACACTAGGTTTGCAATTAAAAACGAGCCGTGGCTAATCAGCTCGATGGTGGATGGTGGCACAGCCTTCAGGGGCAGCAACAGCACAGAAACCAAGAGGGGGACCTTGGTCACACTCCATACACAGACCTTGGGGGACTTCCCTCTTTTTCTTTCTGTGGTGTTCTTGATTTCTGTTTTCCAGCTTACGTTCAACATAATACATAGATCTTTTTAAAGATGTCATTTAGATTGTGAGTCTGGAGATGGAGACATATACATTGACGCTCCTCCGCAGAATAGCAAGGCGGTCACATTCCTGAGCGTGAGTGTGGAATGTCGCCGGCGCTCAGCCAGGCTGATAGCCACTTACCATGGAATAAGCACAGGAGTTTCCACAGAACAACCAGCAGCTCAGGGTGAAATGAAGCCATTGGGTGCCTTTCTGAGCACCAAAGCTACAGTTGAGGGGGTGCTGGCTGTTAGCTCCTCGAGGGGCTGCCTTCCAGCAGTGGGATTGCAACTGAAGTCAAGCCATCAAGTCTGCTTTGGAGTGAAGTCCTTCTCCAGGATGGGGGCCCTGGCCTCACCTGGAGACCTGTCTTGCTCTGACTACATGGCATGGGGCTGCCTCCAGAGTGCTGCACCTCAAACTGCAGAGCAGCCTGGGCCCCTCAGAGAACTGAGTTCTTGGAAAGTCCTAGAATTTCTGTTCTGGAAGACATGATATGCCTGGGCCAGAATGGAGGAGGCCAGCCAGGCCTCAATGACTTATGTGGGAGTCCTTGACTTCTCTTTTGAAGCTTAATGGTGGGCTACACCAATGTCACTTTCCAGTAGGCCACTGAGCTCCTGCCTCAAGCAGAAGCCCTCCACCTGATCTCCTTTTTGGACTTACAGCCAACACTGAGTTCAGCACTTATTTTATATGGAGGACAAAGATGAGACAAGTTGAGTCATTTGCCCAAGAGCAGCCAGCTAGCAGAGGGGAGTGAGGCCTAGAACCAGCAAGACCTTTGCCTCTGCTTTTTGTATCTCGTGCCACTTGGAACATCTTTGGTGGGCTTCGGGCCCCATAACTGATGCATCTGTGCTCAGCAGGTAGAGGCTGGCTTAGACTTGTCCCTGAGGGGGCAAAGTGAGCATTTTCTACTGAAAGCATGGGTACCTTTGTCCCCATGAGACCCTCGAACCTCATGGGACACCACAAGAGGCAAAGGCTCCTTTCGCACATCTAGAAATAAGATGCAGGCCCCAAAGACAGGGAGACCCACTTGTTCTTTCCAGCACAGTGTGTGCTAACTGCCACAATGAACCAGCAGATCTGAGCCCTTCCCTCAGAGCTGGCTGCTAGGACTGGGGGAAAAAAAGGGCAAGCAGGAAGCAGTGTTGCTAGAGTGATGTTAAGAGCCAGGGAGCCCTTAAGCATACAGCCAGGTCACACAGCCTGTCAGCCCACCGTTTTAATTTCAACCATATGCCCTGGATGTCATCAGGCTTCCTTGATTGACACGGACTTTTAAATCAGTTTACAAAGCTGTTTACAGAAAGAAGCCCAGGGAAGATGTCGGACCTACTTAAAAATTTTAAGTCCTCCTCACACAGTCTTGATGCCAGCACACCAGTCACATACGCACCTGAGAGGAGCTGTGGGGACAGTCCTGCCTGGTGAACTCCTCTGAGGAACGGCCCATGGCCATGCACACCTGCCTCAGAGCAGGGCCATGTCTCCTGGGTGGAGCCACCAAGCAGACAAACCCTCCCATACCAGGTCGATTCTGACACTCTCCCTGTCCTCCTGAACGTGGGTTGAAGGGACAAGTTATGCAGAGAAGTGCTTCCCAAGCAAGGGTGGTTGGCAAGGCAGCTGCTAGCCTCCGGAGCAGGCAGTCTACGGCATCCAAGTCCAGGATGGCACTGAGGTCATTCACAGGTGACCTCTTGGCTGTGTTCAGAGGTCATGGAGAAAATACCTTTTCACACCCTCTCCTTATCACCTTCAGAATCCAGGCACTGAGTCAAAAAGGCCTTTTACTTGAAGACCTGAGAGTGAATTCATTTTCCTACTTGGATCTGCTTTGGGGACCGGGTAGTGCCTACGCTTTGCCTGACACAGAAAGTGGGAGGTCACTCGCGTGCTTGCTGCTCACACCCCAGTGAGGCTTTCTTCCTGACTCACTCTCCGTGGTGCGTGGCTCTCACTGCACACTGCAGTGTGTGGGCTGAGCGGGTGGTGACACACCTGCTTCACGAGGATGCGGAAGCCGGCATCTGCCCTCTGTGCACACTGACCACGGACACGCCCTGCTGCTCAATCCATGCAATGAAAGACTCCGGGGTAAACCCAGTGAGATCGCGTTACAGACCCAAGCAGTCACGAACTGAAACCTTGACGCCGTGGTTCTCTCAGGAAACAAACACCTCAGATCGGAACCTTTGGACAGCACACTGTCAGCCATGGCCTGACAGATGGCCCCAGAATGGAGGTTGTGTTCCCATCAGAAACAAAGGCATGAGGGTCTGAGGTCTGAGAACCCTCTTCTAAAGCATGAGAGGCAGAGCGGAACCCAAGGGGGGCAGCTCCCACCCACCACCCAAGGCCAGTCTGCAGGGATGGCACAGCTGGTGTGGAATGCTGCCATCTGGGAGTTGGCACAGACTCTTGCTCTGTTCCTTGAACCCTCAGCCACCTCTGCCTGAATTCCATTCTACAGGAATACTAATCTTCCATCCAAGAAAGCAGCAAGAGCTGGGCATGGTGGCACATGGCAGTGGTGCCTTGAGGTCCAGCCCTGCAGTGGAGGTCTGTGAACCAGACCTCCACAGTTCATGCTCATCTTTGCACCAGAAGAGAAGCTGGCTGCGGAGAGCAGAAGACAACTGGCAGTGCGGGTGTTGCCTATCTGTGACGTCAGAGCTAAGAGGCGCGGCTCCTTGCTTAGAAGGAGTAAGAGAAAATGGTAGCTTTGGACGCCACACTTAGATGGTAGCTCTTACTGCCAGTTCTGTCAGGAGCCATGGGCTCAGGGATGGCAAGAGCCTCAGAGCCTTAAGTTAGCATGGGAAGCCACCTCCAGCAGCTGCCAGAAAAGACATTCATGTGTCTTGCCCTGCTCCCCTCCAGCCAGGAGGTCCCATGGTGTAGACTCAGAGCTGAAGAACCAGCCAAGTCACCAGATCCCTGGACCTTTATAAACCAAAATATTTCTTCCCAGCCCAGAGACTCTGTAATCTAGTCGCCATTTTTCTTTATCTCTGTCAATCATGCAACTGTCCCCTGACGCCTGAATGAATCTGCCACCAGGTCCCCAGAACACCCTCAGTCAGGGTCAGAGTCAAGACTCTCCTCCTGGGTGCTCCCTCTCTCCTCTTGGCCCAGCATGTCAAAGGCTGGAACCTTCTCCTCCAGCCCTCTGAGGCCTTCTCCATGTATTTCTCTGCCTTCTACACATGCATTCTGGTCCCTCCTCTGTATCTTGTCCACGTGTCGCATCCCTGCTCTAGAGACACAACCCCTGACCCCCATCGATGTTACACATGGCATGTCTCTTTCTCCTACAGAATCTTTTCCCTTGAACTGCTGATCTCCTGGGCACCTGGCCTGACTTCTCAGATTTGAGAAGTCTTGGCCTTGCCTGCCAGGCCTCTAGGCCTCCTTCTCCCAGGAAGGCAGCCCTGGCTCAGAGTATCCTGGCTGTGCTGACAGTGGCCACCTTGGCCACTGAGGATACAAAGGGCCATAGAACTTCTGAGAAGGTAACTTTCATTAGGTAAAATTTGGGACTTGGTTCAGAGTAAAAACCTGGTCTGGATAACCATGTTCCTCCAGGACAAACATCACCTTTGGGGTTCCATGGCGAGGACACGGGGCATTTCTGAGGTCTAGTCTTCACTTGTAGGTGAACTTTTTAGAGCCACATTGTGAGGCTTTCCGTGGCGGGCAGCACTGCTGTAACAGCTGCCATTTGGCTTGTGCTGTGGCCACACTCCACTCCTGCCGTGGCCTTCGCCAGCACCTCAACAGATAAGTAGGCACTTCACCCCCTTACGCTACGGATAAGGAAACCATGTCTCAGAGAGATCAGGAGCAGAGGCCACAGACTCTATGGCATCTATCGTTGGATCTGTATGCTAGGCAGCTAGCAGCAGGCCCCTTCCTGGGGCTTTCTGGGTCCCCTTGAGTGAGCTTAGTGAGCCTCCCTCAAGAGGTTCCTGTCAGCCGCTTCCACGTAGAGGTGCCACTCATTCCCCTTGGCTGGGGATCCAGTGGCTCACCTGACTTTCAGCTCTAGGGAGAGAGGAGGCACAGCGTGGGCTCATAGTGAGGCCCACGGAATGTCTGTGCATGGCACTGTTGGCACCACATTAATTTCCTAGGAAACCCAGAAGGAAGGCAGAGCTATGTGGCTAAGAGAAAGGGAAGGTAAGTTGTGGGTGGGGGAGGTGGTGAGCCTTTGGCTAAGCTCAGCTGGGCATTCTGGAATTTGTCTTTCTTCCTGACCCCTGGCATCACTCTGGGGTCATGGTTTTTCCTGGAGGTCTTGGGCACAGTGAACACAGAGCACGGCTCCAGGCCCCCACTTCCCGCAGCAGTGCCCAGGTGTTTCCCCGCGGTAGGAATGTTACATTACCAGCTTAAAGATTTTGGAAAGCGTGCCCTGGGCGTCGTAGGCCCCCTTGAATCCCTTGTGAGCCGATTTATAGTCGGAAGCTCTGCCTCCGTAGCCAAATCCTGGCTTCTGCCCCTCGGCCCCCTGCAAGAAAAGACCAGAGCTCAGTGTCTGCTCACAGCCCCCTCCAGGGCCTAGCCAGGAGGACGTTAACCACCGGGTGGCACCAGCGAGTCACTCAGGAGCCAGAGCGGCACGGAGCTCTGATGGGGAGGGGCTGGAGAAGAGCCTGTCCCCAAGTCCATCAGGGGGTGTTGCTGGAGAACAAAGGGCCTGGGCCAGGCAGTGGTGAATGTTCTAGGGCACAAGTGCCCAACTTTACAGGCAGCCGCAGAGCTCTGTACCAGGGCATTCATTCTCAGGGTGGAGCAGAGTCATAAGGGCACTTGTGCCCCTATACAGTTGGCCTTTAAGGACGGCAATCACCCCTCCTCCTGCCTCCATTGGTCCCTCTCACTCTGTGCTGAGATGGTTACCCCTGTGGGATGCAGTGATGGACAGTGAGCACTGTAGTGTAAGTCTCTGTGGGTTCCAGCACTGGCTTATTCACAAAAAGGAACACTCCCCGGTAAGCCTGAGTGATGAGACCAGCACTCTGGGTAAGGTCTTCACCCAACCCAGTGCACAATCCCAGAGGCTAACCAGAAAGACTCTCACTCCTTACTCACGGAAGTCTGCCCCAAGGGCAGGGCTCAAGATTTTGTCTAGGGTTTAGACAAGAGGAAACGGGAAACCAGCTGTCAAGAACAGCTCCAGAATCAGAACCAGCCATCAGCCTGCACTGCTCCTAGCACCCTCGACACATGGTGATTCACACAAGTACATTAGGCAAGAAGGAGGTTGAGAAGGAATCCATCTGTGTGGCCATCCAGCAGTGCAGCCAGGATTAAGAAGAATCCAGGTACCTGGCTGGCTTGGACAGGATGGAAGCTAGACCCAGGCCATATGAGCCAACATTCTCTCCCATTCCAGCTACTTACATCCATCATTTTCCTATCTTTAGCCTGTGTTTGGGACAGATAGCCACCCCCCCTTCCCCCGCAGCCAGGAGGCTGTTTCGGTGACAGGTGTTCTGACAGGGTAAGGAATGTGAACGAGAGGAGAGAAGGTCTATGCTGAGCACTTGGGCCAGCCAGAGCCACTCATGCATCCTGGAGGCTTCCCAGACACTTGGACTCTTGGATAACACATGGAAGGGTTGTGTCACTTTGGGGAGCGTGGTACCAATACACAGGCAACTAAGTAGCAGAAACACAGTTCTCTGGGCAGATGCTGGGTCCCTTTGTCCCAGAGCATGGCTTTTCTCCCAAACCGAGAACTCCTGATACCAGAACAGCTTAACCTTCAGAGAGCAATAATGTAGGACTTTCCTAGTCACTTTCCTTCTGAAACCTAGACATTATCAAGATAGATACAATAGGGTTTTGAGAAAGCAAGAAGGAGTTTCTGAAACTCCAGACAAGAAGGCCGTACTGAAAACAGACAACAAAAACCTGGAGGAACTTTGGACAAAGAGAGACCCAAGCAGCCCTTGGGAGACACAAACTGGAGAATGAAGACAGACGCCAAGACCTATTCCTTCATTGGTAGGACAAAGGGCCTCCCCAAGTTCCCAGAAGGCCTCCTCTCTGACCACTTGACATCCAGTCTGCACAACGCCCTGACAACCCACGCCTAGAAAATGAAGACATATACAGCAGTAGCTAAATAAGAATTCTGGGTTAAAATAGATGTCATTCTTCATATCATCTTTGTTTCCTGCTGGCACAGAAAGTTAAAGGCAAAAAAAGGCTATGAGTGAGGTCTGTGTAGACACCTACCTTATTGTCACCAGTTTTGAAGATTTACCATGTGAGAAAAAAGAAAAGAAAAGAAAAACAGAACAGGTCCAACGTGCATTTTTATCATATGGTTCATAGCTCAGTTTTTTTTTTTTTGAGACAGAGCAGCTCTGTTTCCCCCACTATATAGGCTCACTTTGCTCTTTCAGCAATCCTCCTGCCTCTGCCTACTAAGTAGTGGCATTACAGGTGTGTGCCCCATGCCTGGCGCCATCTTCTTCTCACTGTTGTTTCTACTGTCCCCATTTCTTCTTTCTCCCCTTCTTTCTCCTCTCTCTGTCTCTTCCTTCCTCCCCTGTCCCCATTCTCTTGTGTGTTGTTTGGCTGGCACAGCTGGATCTGTACCACACTGTCCACAGATAGACAATCTCTCACCCCACCCCCAACTCTGGCTAACAGGCTGGTGTTTATGCATCTGTGCAGCTCTGAAAATCACAGCAATTTATAAGGAAAAGAGTATCTAGTATCTAGTGTCTGCTAGCAGCTGGGGTCAATATACTTGGTTAGGATGTATGAGTAAGCACTTTAAATTGGCGTAGACATCAAAAGTTGCTAATATTTAGAAGCCAAGCTGTTCAACCAACTAAAATCATCATTGAGACTTTGCTCTTGTGTCTAAAAGCATAAAACCCCTAAGGAATCACTCTTGGTGTTTTAGTGGCTCAGTGTTAGGTATTACTAACACGCAAACAAAACCCCAAATCTCCTGGACTAATGGGGAGAGGGGTTATTAGAAATGACATGACCGAGTTTAGCATCTCTCATATTGGATCAGTAGTTCTATTTTAAGGAGCAGCCAGCATTGTCCTATATTTGGTCTTCTGAGACTCATTTTCCCAGTTGGGGGACTAGGAAAGAACTTGGATTTTCTCCACTGTGATGTGGCCCTTCCTCGGGAAGGAGCTCAGAGCCCTGTGGGAGGGAGGCACAGGGTGTGCAGTGCCCCGGTCTCCGCCTGGCAGTGATCCACACTGAAAGGCTTCAGTCCTGCCTTGGAACAGAAAAGCCTGTCAACCATGGTGGGCGAGCTGGGCTGGGCCGGAAAGAGAAGCCGAGTGTTAAGCAACTGGAAGAACTTAGAAGTCAGTGGGCTGTGCAGGCTGCAGAGGAGGAGGAAGCAGAGGAAACATAGTCATCACCTACCCAGCTAAATCTGCTGAGGGACAGGCCTCTCCCCTGTGAGGAAGAGAAAGAAACGGTGACGAAAGAAACAGTGACGTGGTGATCACCCGTGGCCAAGTCCTGAAACCAACAGGAACAACCAAAATGGCATGCCTCCCCCAAGAGGATCAGGTTCGTCAAATGTGCCACATTCAGAGTATGCGGGCCACCTGAGGCTCCAAGGCCAGGATGTGAATCCCAGCTCAGGGGAACAGTGCCTGGACACGCTGGCCTCGTATGTATAGCTGGAGCCCTTCAGCTGCTGTGCCCCACTGGAAGCCTCTGGAAGCAAGACTGGGGTGGATTTGGGGAGCCCTGAGCCCAGTTCCATTTGGAACACATTTTGGGATTTCAGGATGATCATATGCATGAATTGACAATGGATCAAAACATCTAAGGTCTTACCTTTCCTTGGGATGGAGGAGGTGTGCGAGGTGTCACCTGGAAGACAGAGAAATGTGGGCTTCAGTGACTTACTTTCCTATAGGCAGCCCTGCTCTCTCCCTGAGGGCCCCACTAGCTCATGTCAGCAGATGTGGCTCCAGTCCGTCAGGCATCAGAAGCTAACACATGCCTCCATCATGCCCTTCCTAGGGCTGGAAATGCTGTACCTACTGGTGCTTGGTTTCAAAACGATGCCCCATTTTTTAAAAGTATGTGTCGATGTGAGTACATGCCTATGAATTCAGGTGCCCACGAAGACCACAGATGGGGCTGGGGCTGGGGCTGGAGTTATAGGCAATTTTGAACTACCTGATGAGGGTGACCGGAATTGAACTTAGATCCTTTGCAAGGGCAGTGTGCCGGCTAGTTTTATGTCAACTTGACACAACGTAGTCATTTGGGAAGAGGAAATTTCAATTGGGAAAATGTCTCCATAAGATTTGCCTGTAAGCATATCTATTGTGCATTTTCTTGATTTTTGATTGATGTGGGAGGGCCCAAGAAATTGTGGGTGGGGCCATCCCTGGGAGGTGGTCCTGGGGTCGCATAAGAAAGCCCCATGAGGGGCAAGTCAGTAAACAGCATTTCATGGCTTCAGTTTCTGCCTCCAGGTTCCTACTCTGACTTCCTTCCATGATGACTGTGATGTGGAAATGTGTTTCATTAAAGCAATAAAAAGCCCAACGAGATACATAGAGTGCTCTATCAATTCCTGAGCCATCTCTCCAGCCCCTCATTAATAGTTTGGAAAAAACAACAACAACAACAACAACTTTATTGTGGTTGTTTGAATGAAAGTGATCCCCATAGGTTCATATATGTGAAAGCTTGGTAGTAGTTGGTGGAACTGTTTGGGAAGGATAAGGAGGTGTGGCCTGTTGAAAGAGGTGTGTTGCTGAGGTAAGCCGTTCTCACTCACTCACTCTATCCATCCATCCATCCATGATCTATCATCACCTGCCTTTCTGCCCACCTTTCTGCCTCATGTTTATGTCTCAAGATGAGATCTCTCAGCTACCGCCCCAGTGCCATGTCTGCCTGCCTGCCTGATGCCATGTTCCCTACCATGATAGTCTTGGACTCACCCTCTTAACTGTAAGCCCAAAATAAAGGCTTTGTTCTATAAGTTGCCATGGTCATGGTGTTTCACAACAACAGAGAGGTAACTAAGACATTTATTTAATGGAAGAGTTAAGATTTACCGAGGAATTGTAATGAAGTCGCACATTTCCCTGACATCTATAGGGCTTTTCCACACATCTGCTCAATTTCTGCTACTTAGCATCAGCATTAATGTGATCGGAGGATTATTATTATCAGAGAGATACACTAGGGTTCACTGTAGTAGCATGCATCCTATGTGTGTAGACGAACGTCCCCTGTCCTGTATTACAATGCCACACAGAGCAGTTTTGCTGGCCTGAAACACCCTGCATGTCTCTGCTCCCTGCACCCCTCAGTCCTCTTGGGCAATGCCTATTCGCATCATGATCCCTTCTCGGGGTTACAAAGTCTATATTTTTTAACTAAGCATCAGCTAGCTGTCTGGTTTCAGGGAAATTGAATTCTCATTCAAATACACAGTTTGTTACATGGCAGACACAGCTAAGAGTATCCTTTGGGAGCTCAGATGACCAAGATCCTGCTGAGGGTAGTGTCCCTCAGGCCAGCTGCACCTGAGAAGGATCCCAGAGGCCATGAGCTGTGGACTCTCCTGGATCCAGCAACCCCTCCCTTGATGCTTCCTCGGCCCCCTGTGCATGGTCACTCACAATGTTCTTGAAGAAGTGGACTACTGGGTTTTCATCTTGGGTCCGGCCGTGCTGGGACTTCTGGGGCAGGGATCCATAGTGGGTAGTTCTTGATGTGTGTGAGTCCTGAAAGAGAGAAGCATGCAGCTCAGGACGTAGAGGACACAGCTGGGCCAGGTCCATCCTCTTGAGGATGGTGAGACTCTATGCTCCGCACTGTGGGAATTGGGAGGCTGCTGCTGTGCCCCCAGTGAGGCATGGGGCTTAGCAGGGCATGCTTGGTGGTGTAAGCACAGTTTGCCAGGTGGCTACTCTCTATTTCTGAAGCCGTCACAGGCAGAGGGAGCCTGTGTGAGTGCCCATCAGGTCTGAGGATTTGTAGTACACAGAGCCAGAAGGTGCTAGGTCAGTGAATACAGCCACTTAGACACTCTAGCAAGCACAGAGGCAGTGATTTATCCCAAGTGAGCACGAGCTTGGAAGGTAGGCTGAAACGGCTCTGCTTTCTTCCGATGCTGTACTTCTGGCTGCCACAGTACTGTGTTCAACACAGGCCACATGTACAGCACCATGAAAGAGTCTATCACCCAGCCGGGTATCCTTGGGAAAAAGCCTATGAGGAGGCTTCACAACACTGCTTTCCTCAGAAAACGACAGACAGGGAGTTCTGGCGGAGACTGCGCTCATTTCCTCACGTCTCCCTCCACTGCTCCCAGCACACACTCAGAATCAGCACTGTGCCTGGGGGAACCTCAGCCGCCAGGCAGCAAGAGCGACAGCAGGAGCGATAAGCATAGCCTGTCTGCAGGGCAGCTCTGAGGTGCAGTCTAGTCCCTCGAAGCATCCTGTCTCTCTGCATGTGGGTCGGGAGAACCCTCCCGAGCAGTTCGTCACTAGAAAGCCAAGAGCTGCTTCTCTGGAGCTTGTGAGGGTGTGTGTAATGGGTGTGGCTCCCTGGGTTATAACCCCACTTCCATGGGATGCCATCTGCCAAGCACTCAGCATTTCTCTGGGTCGGTTATACCATGATCCTCATTGTCATTAACTAAATGGCTAACAGCTTCAGCTTCTGTGTCAGACGAAAGTCCACAAGCCCTTCATATAGATAGCATCAGACAGAACACTCGTAAGTAGTTGGAAGTGGTCCTAGCAATCAAGCAAGGCTGGCCCTGGAAGAGAGCTAACACACAGATCCATGGAACAGAATAGCACCCAGTAATATGGCTTCCCTAATTTGGCCAATGCACTTTGACCAAGTAACAAAGACCACCCAACAGAGAGAAGATGGTCTTTTGACCTTGGAACAATTGGATCTTCATATGCAAAAAACACCAATAAAAATGTACTTCAACCCAAACCCTCACTTCATCTAAAAGTTAACTGGAAATAGATGAGAAATCTCTACTGACACTGTAAAATTTTAGACGAAAACAGGAGACGACTTTCTGACCAGGAGTAGACAAGGATTTCCTAAACATGACACCAAAATCTGGTTCTTCAAGGAAATAGATAAATCAGACCCCATCAAAGCTCAATACTGTTTGCACAAAACACTGTTAGGAGCTACAGACAGACTGGGAGAAAATACTTGGAAATCACATATGAGGAAAAAAAAAGACTCAAACACAAAATATGTTTACAAAAACATTAAATCTTCAAAACTCAGCAGTAAGAAAATAAATTGTCTAAAAACTAGACTAAACACTTGAACAAACATTTAACCAAAGAGGTGTGGAAAAAATCAGCACACGAACAACAGCTGCTCAAGACCAACAGCCCTCAAGGTGATGCAAACAGGAGCCATGAGCTGTTAGTACCCGCATGTTCAGGTAGCTAAGAAAAAATACTGATAGCAGTAAGTGTTGGCTAGTACAGGGAGCAACTGGAACGTTCCTATGTATTGTCGTGGGAATACAAAATAGGACAGTCCTTGGGGAAAACAACATGGCAGCTTTTTTTACAGCATCAATTATATACTTACTGTATGCCCCTTAAATTCCATTTCATGCTGTGAAGAATTAAAAAAGAAATGCTTTGTCTTTGAAAATTTTTTTAAATGAACATATTGGTCGCTGATTTTTTGAAGGAAAATAATTTAAATCTTAAATGAGAAACTGCTCACTCAAAACCTGTACGTAAAGGTTTGTAGAATTTTTCATCCCTGCAAACTATAAAAACCCCCAAATGTTCCCCATCAAGAAAACCAACACATGCTGGCATACACATTCAATGGAATGCTACTTAGCAATGAAATGAACACCATTTTGAAACACGCAATAAGGCATCTCTAAGTCATGATGCATGAAAGATGCTGTTCAAGTAGAATCTAGATGGACCATCTTTTTATGAGACGTTCTTGAAAGGCCTGTCCTCCGGTGAGGGAGACACTGGGCAGGGGTGGTTGTAGTTAGAAGATGAGAGAAAGGGGAGTTTTCAGTACACAGGAAGGGGGTCATTGCCACCGCCCCCCGACCCAGGTAACGTTTGTCATCTGGAAGGTGTTACCACATTGGGTCATTCTCCCTAGTTTTCCAGGGCACCTCATGCCCCATCTAGGTTTTACTCTTCCATAGAAAACAACAACAACAACAACAAAACAGGCCTGTGTGTGCTCCAAAGGTGCTGGCAGCTGGACTCTCATGGTGGCACTCAGCTAATGAGAGGATGAAGAAGGGCAATAGAAAAACCCTCCTCCTACGACAGTGTGTAGGACAGAGCTAGCCACAGAAACAGGAGAGCACCCGCCAAAGGCTGATGCCAGAACCCCAGGAGCTCTTGGAAAGCTTCTGGGTGGAGCAGGCCTCGGCTTCCTCTTGTGCAGCTTGGGCCTGAGGTGGAGTTGAGGCGGCAATTCTTTGGTGACAGTCACACATTGGGACACCACCTAGTTCTAGGCCTGGCTTCGTGGCAGCAGAGCAAAAGCCCAGATGTCCCTTCAGTTACCATAGTAGCAACATCCTGGGGCAACAGGCTGCATGGGCTGGACCAGCGTGGCATCAGAGCTTATGCTCTTAGAATGTACAGAACACGGGGTCTCATTTTAAGCATACAGCTCGGGAGCAGCTGTGAATCTGTCGCCACCTGCTCCTGCTTCCTTCCCATGCAGAACCTGACCTAGTTAAGCCCTGATCCCTCACTTCCTTCTCTCTCTCCAGGACCACAGCTCCACTCTGACTTCTTGAATATACAAATATATAGACAAATATTTTCTCCCAGTCTGCACAGCTCGCCTGTTCAGCATCCTAACAGTGTTTTGTGCAAACAGTGTTGGGCTTTGATGGGGTCTGATTTACCTCTTTTCTTGATGAACCAGCTTTTCATTTCAGGTCTATGAAACTCTTGTCTACCTCAATCAGGACGACTGTATCCTATATTTTCATCTAAAATTTTAGAATTTTGCAGTGTCAGTAGAGAGTTATGATCCATTTTCAGTTGACTTTTGTATAAGATGAAGGTTTGAGTTGAGATGCATTATTGATGTTTGGTAGACAGATGTCCAATTTTTCCCAGAGCACTTGTTGAAAAGATCATCATTTTTCTGTTGAGTTGCCCCTGTCTCTTTGTCAAAGCGCAATTATTCATCACAGGTAAAACCCCATGGGTCTTACTCCACACTCCATGTAGGAATGGTCCAGATTTTCTGAGTGTCTGCCAGAGGATCCTGGTGATGGGCAAGGTCACCTACATTCTGGTGAGCTGGCATCTTTGGGAGGGAGGACTTTGCTCTGTTAGTTCATTATCACAGATCTGTTCTCTGGCAGACACCTTCTCCGCTGTGCCCACTAAAGCTGGGCAGAGCCCACCCTGAACACTGCTGTTGTTCTCAGGACTGCAGTCTCTGTCTCCCCCAGCATGTCTGCAGTGCGTCTTCCGTGAGACACATTCTCACCGTTTGCAGTTCACGACAGGCCATGAACTGTAAGAGCAGTCATCTCACAGGCATCGTGACAAGGTCAGTTCACCACCAGCGAGAAAGGCCACAGAACCAAGGCCAAGGTTGCTGGCCTGCTACGACTCCTGGAATCCAAGTGGGTTGGAGGCCTTGCCACCTGGCCCACCTGATGCCAGGGCCTGGTCGGTGAACCCCACAGTTGTGTTTGAAGCCGAGCATTTGGTACAAGTGAGGGTCTGTGAAAGCAGTCTTGTTTTAAAAATTAAAAAAAAAGAAAAAACAAACATTGTTTGGACAATGCTACATACTTACAGGAAGGTGTTAAATGATGCCCCGGGCCATGAGGCAGCCAAGGATGTGTGTTGCAGATGGTTTTGAAGGAGATCCTACTACACGTATTTTTCTTCTTTTTTCTTAAGAACCTCACCTGTTTTATTAATGAGCTGTGCACATCAGAAACCTCACTTGTTTTATTAATACGAGCTTTGCATCGTATTAATAAACAAAGATGACAACAAATTTTTGGAGGTGACACAAAGTTAAATTACGAAGAATCATTCTGGAGCTGTGGAAGGGGGATCCCCGGCCAAGCAGGTCATTGAATTCTAGGATGCAAAATTTCTCCGTTAGCCCATTTGTACTATTTTTGAAAGATTCCAATTTCTCTCAGCAGGAAACAGGGCCGTCTCCAGCAGGGGGTGCTCGACACGCTCTCGGCAGAGGTCAGGAAGGGTTTTTAATGTGTTATCCAGTTTCCTGCTGGTGAAAGCTGGGCATAGGTCCTTGGCCATCAGACCGGGTGTCTGCTTGTTCTCCTGAAGAGAGGCTGCTCCCTGAAAACAGTCCGAGACACAGTCTCACCTTTTGCAGCTCATTATAGGCCAGGAACTGTAAGAACAACCATTACGTAGGGAAGTGCGGCCTAGGGTTTTATGGTCAAGCGAAAATAAAAATATCCCTATTCTTACTTCATTTCTGGCCTGAGAAGGGTCCCCCGCTTGCCCGGAAGCACAACCAGCATCACAGGTTACACTTCTTCTTTCTCCTGCCTCCATGCAGATCCGTGTGACCACTGAAGAGCTGACTCAGTTTTAAACAGGAGATGCGATGTCTCCTCAGTGACCTGGAACCAAACCCATCCTCCTCTGCTTCATTTGTAGTGTGAAACTGACACGCAAAGGGGTCCAAGGACCTGCCCACTGAGGCGCTCGGTAGTCTAGGCCTGGAGCTGGAG